TCTTGTTATATTGACGATCTTGTTTTTGGCGCTCCAACCGAGACTTCGGCTCTTAAGCTTTACGATGAAATCACCCAACTATGCTCATCAGGTGGTTTCGAACTTCATAAATGGTCAAGTTCAAGTAGCTCCGTCCTCACCACAATCCCCGCGGACCGTCGAAAAACACCCCATCCGTTAGGATCTACACACTCGATTAAAGTACTAGGACTTGAATGGGACCCGACTACTGACTGTTTCCGCTACTCTATTTCACCTGTCAACAGTACGCCAACCAAACGCAATGTATTGTCTCAAGTTGCTCGAGTTTACGATGTAAACGGCTTTATTAGTCCAATTATTTTCACCTTAAAACATCTACTTCAACAGATTTGGATTGAAAAGCTCAACTGGGACGACCCTCTCCCTCAATCTCTTCAAAATGTTTGGGATAAATTCATCAAAGAACTACCCCTTATGACACAGTTCAAAATACCTCGCTACATTCTCAGTAACTACTTAACCGCTCAGCTGATTGGTTTCTCTGATGCTTCCAAAATAGACATGTGCGCCTCTTTGTTACACAATACTCAATGAAGGAATGTGAAGATAAGAGTGTAGAGTGCAACCTCCTGCAATCCAAAACTAAAGTCGCTCCTCTGAAAACACTTACGATCCCTCGTTTAGAATTGTGTTCCGCTCTTCTCCTCTCTCAGTTAGTAAAAGCGAACCAACCGCTTATTAACAAACTTCAAATATCAGACATATTTCTATTCACAGACTCCATGAATGTTCTTGGTTGGTTAAATACACCACCACACCTCCTAGAAACCTTTGTCTCAAACCGTGTCTGTAAAATAACAGAAATCACCCCTGTTGATGCTTGGCGTCATATATCAGGGGATGAAAACCCTTCTGACTGTGGCACTAGAGGTTTAATGCCGAATAGTCTGTTGAGTCACCCTCTTTGGTGGCATGGACTCTCTTTTATCCACAATGATATCTCATCTTGGACTCTACCGCCTTCAAACATTCCTTCGGATGTTATTGAGCCTCAACAAACTCCCACGAAGAACACCTTGACAACTAATGCTGTTCCCCAAAACGATCTTTATCAATGGATGAATAAGTTTTCATCACTCATTAAACTTCAAAACACCATGGGCTATGTACTGAGATTCATCCATAACTCACGATCTAATCAATGTGATAAACGCTATGGCTCGTTATCAGTTTCGGAACGAGATGCCGCTCTGGAATGTTGTATAAAATTAGTACAAACACGGCACTATTCTGAAGAAATAAAAGCTCTAAAACTATCCAAGCCTTGTTCTTCATCACTAAGAAAACTTTCTCCATTTCTATCCTCGGACACCCTCTGGTGGGGGGTAGATTGAAATTAGCTCCTTTGCCTGAATCATCAAAACACCCTGTATTGATACCCTCTCAGTGTCATTTGGCAAACCTTTTATGTGATTACTATCACTTGTATTCTCTACATGGTGGTCCAAAACTAGTACAAGCATTAATTCAAAGACGCTTCTGGATTATTGGTGCAAGAAATCTTATAAGAAAACGATTATTTTGATGTATCACTTGCTACAAAATGAAAGCTAAACCCACGCAACCTCTTATGGCGGATCGTCCACCCTCACGATTTAAACAGACCCGATGCTTTATTAATGCAGGATTAGATTTTGCTGGCCCTTTTCTCGTTAAAGAAAGCACAATACGAAATACAAAACTATCAAAGTGCTACATTGCCGTATTTGTGTGTATGGCAGTCAAAGCTGTCCATCTTGAATTAGTGCATTCACTCTCTACTGAATCTTGTTTAGCCGCTATAGACAGATTTATCGCTCGGAGAGGAGTCTGTCGTAACCTTTATTCTGATCAAGGTCGAAACTTCGTTGGTGCTGCTCGCCAACTAAAAGAAATCTACTCTATCTTGAAGAACTCCACCTCACAGATCTCAGAACATTTGGCTCAACGTGAAATAACTTGGAACTTTAACCCGCCATATGCCCCAAACTTTGGAGGCCTCTGGGAGGCTGCAGTGAAGTCGACCAAACACCATCTTAAAAGGATACTGCAAAACCATAATTTCACGGCTGAAGAATTCACCACATTCCTGTGCCGTGTCTAAGCTGTACTGAACTCCAGGCCGCTTTGCGCACTCTCATCGTCACCTGATGACGACTTTAACTACTTGTCTCCTGGCCACTTCCTCACAGGAGACCTCCTGCTAGCATGACCGGAGGAAGACATCTCGGAAGAACCCTTAAACTTACTCTCACGCTGGCAGCTAGTGTCTCGTGCCTCTCAACACTTCTGGAAAAGCTGGAGAAGAGATTATCTCCATACTCTTATCCAACGCCCCAAATGGACTGAGAAAACCCTCAACCTTAAGGAAGGAGACTTAGTTTTAATGTACTCTAATGATACTGACCCTTTGACTTGGCCCCTAGGTAGGATAATTAAGGTTATGCCAGGATCCGACCAAGTTGTAAGAGTTGTTAAAGTCAAAACCCCTGTAGGTATTGTAACACGCCCTGTAAATAAGTTAATTCCTCTCCCTATGGTTTAGATAGTGTTACCTTTGTCTCTTTGTACATATTATCAAAATTTTGTATTATCTTTATAGTTAGGTAACAGGTTTGTTTCATGATGACGGTTATTATCTAAGGGTTTTTTTTAATTTACAGTTTCTTTAATGCTCTTTAATATTTTCTCAAAAATTGCTTTTTTGGGTGGGGGGAATGTTTGGTACTTATTTTAAAGTCCCTAGATTGGTGCTACCCTAACCTTGCCCAACGTTATCTACGGCGAATCGTCCCCACTCCGACTACTGGAAATGCTCCTCTAGCATTGCCGACGGCGTCATGGGCAGACGTCGCTACGTTTTCCTACATTTTGCATAGACTCTTTAATTCTCATTAATTCACAATTAACTTTATTTTGTCAGTTTTAAGTTTTGTTCAATATACCAGTCATTTTTAACTTCACCAGTGCTAGTCATTTCCCTTGTTGTTGCCCCCGCACCCTTGGCCTACACCGCTTCCATCCCCTGGACTACCCACTACCTTGGACGAGACGGACATCATTCACCTTCAAGACATCCGACAAGGTAACGGTAGCACCAGTATTAATTTTGTTTTGTTCAAACCGCCGTACGGCTTTCCGCTAAAGACCGTACAATACTGTTCTAGATTTAGGCTTGAAAATTGAGCCACTTATAGAAAAGTCTTTTATAGAATAGAAACGTATTTTATTTTAAGCGGTTTTCAGTATAAAAATACACTGCTTTTCAAAACAACTCAAGTCAGGTGCACAGTCTTCAATAGAGCAAGTTATGCTTAACTTAGCAGTTACAATAATAAAAGAGAACAAATAATTTAATTAAAACTAATACAATTAACCTATATTTACAAGTAGAGTTTTTTCGTTTCTTGTATGAAAGCCTTATAACTTAAATTTTTAATTCTTTCCTAATTTCTTAATTTTTAATTGTATTCCTGAGGGCCGAAAAAAGAAAACCCCTTCTTACTACATTCAAAGTTTACACGAGGCAAATGCAGTAGGCTATCCTGTCTTGTCCACCTATCTTGTACTTCTTTTTGAGTGGTTAGGTAATCTTTGAGGTAGGAGGGTCTGTTGGTTTTGACCACTTTATGTACTATAGCAACAGTTTCAAGGACGCAAACAACCTGCACTGGGAACATTTTACTTTTGTTTCTGATATGTGATCAATTTTTTTTAGATCATATACAAATCTTAGAGCATTATTTTGCAAGCAATCCAAGATATTCAAATTTTCTGCTGACAATGAAAACCCAAAGGCAGGCAAAGCATAATTTATTATTGGCATTACCAGAGCTAACCATTTGTAATTTTACATTCTCAGCTAATATATGCCTAAAATCTATTTAACATTTTGAGTATAGATATAAGCCTTTGTACGATTATTTTTACTTGTTTTGGAAATTTTAATCATTAATCATAAATTTTAAATCATTTTCCAAAAGTATATTTACATTATTTTGGTGGCTTAAAAGAGTGTTTCTCAAGCAATTGCTGAAATGTATTACTGAACACTTCTCAGTATTTAACCTAAGGCCAGGCGCACACAGTCGATTTTGAGTCTAGCAACAGTTGCCCGACTAATTGGGGGACTGTTGCGCAACCCACTCGGAGACTCTGAAGTCTAGCGACAGTTGAGCTGGAGTGCGCACACAGGCAACTTTTTAGTCGTGAATCTTTAAGACGTAAGTTGGACATTACATTTGTTAACAGCGTTAATAGTACCGAATGGATTTCAATGATACAGCCATAATATGTGCTTTGTTGTTGAAGTTTCGCGTGCGAAAGAAGAAAAGAAAATACTGGGTTCATTCCATATATAGTGAGCAACTTGTGAATAGTCTTTCAATTACTTAAAATATAAATGCGGCCTCTTCCAACTTCATCAATTAATTTGTTCAACATCCTCGTCGCCGACACTCATATTTAAGTAATTTTCTAAAAACTTCACACAACAAAAAGAGAGCAAACCCGAGTGCCAGTTCTGGCCACAAGTAGCCTGGGGTGAGACTGAGCGTTTAGAGAGACTGACAATTTAGTCGCATGTGTGCGCGTCTACACTTGTTTCAATGGATACCAAACCTGGAGCGATAGTCCCGCGACAATTGAGTCGCAGAGCTGTCTCTGGCGAATTGGGTCCGGGAACATCGGTTGCAACAGTTGCGCGACTGTCCCTAGACTGTTTCCCTGGTGTGCGCACTCCAATTTAAAACAATGCTGAACATTTAAGTCGGGCAACTGTTGCTAGACTCAAAATCGCCTGTGTGCGCCTGGCCTAAGACAATGATTTTTTGACCACTGATGAATCTTTTTGAATGAGAAGAGTAGCTGTGAATCGTCGGCATAAGAAAAGAGTGAACAGTGACACATTATACACATCTACTCTATAGTAACTTTAAATATGTTAAGGATTTTGGTTTTATATTATTATTAGTACATACCTTGATGCCAGTTTATTTTTTTCCTTTCTACTTTTGGGTCGAACATTAAATGGTAGCTCACTGACTGGAGTCATGTCATTTATAGTCCGTGTGAGTTTATCTAACTCTCTGCCAATTGCTTGAAGTTTTCGAGGGTTAGGAGTCAAATCGTTACCATCTCCTTTTCGTGCCTTTCCACTGAAAGGTTTAAAAAAACTTTAGGTATGTGAAGTAGAGTAAATTGTCACCAGACAGGTTAAATGTGTTAATAGTGTACTCAAATTTGAAAACTATTAAATAATGCTTTATGAGACTTGCTATATGATTTCTTCTTACACAATTATTAATTACTACCTAATTAAAATTACTGCATTCTTAAAACATTTTTCAATTACTACACCATCCCCTGTCTTTATGTACTTTCATATAGTATGTGATTTTGGAGTTATGGGTTGTTTGTCAATTGGGCTACATATACAGGGTGGGGCAATGAAAGCGCCCCAATTTATAAGCTGTACAAACTCATTAGTATTCACCCTATAGATATAAATAGCACATCCAAACACAGCTTATCTTTTGCCATTTTAACTTAACAATGTCATTTTTTCCATTTCTTGAGAACAAAATCCTGCAAGTGACGTCCTTGTCCTACTTGACATTCCTTTTAAGGCACAACTCCATCAAATACTCCTCTAGCATTTCTTCAGGTTCACTTTAGTTTCTGGACGATTCTTAGCTCCAGTTCAAATAAATCTGTGGGGCGACTTTGAAAAACCTCAAACTTCAAGTAGCTTACTAGAACAACCCCCCCCCCCTCTCAAAAAAGGAGCCAACGTAAAGCTTTCAACAACAAAAGATTCCTGGAAAATCCCTTTGGACTTTGAGTTACTGCGACTCTCACTCTTTCAACATTTGCTGGTATACAAAGAGTTTTGCGGCACCCACCGATTATTTTTTAGGTTTAATCGTTTATCCTAAATAATTTTACCCAGTTCACCATTGTTTTCCAATCGGGAAACGCGCCATGTTGAACAAGGATAGAATGTGGTCCAAAGAATCTCTGGGTTTTTGCACAAGAATCACTATTTTTAAAATAGGTTTTCACATCAAAATCTCAGTGTTAATAGCCTCAGGCATAATATTTACTAAAATTGCATAGTTTAATGGATGTTATAAGCACAGCTGATCATTCGTTGTTGCAACAATTAACATGAGACATCTAAAACAAATTGTAGCGTTCTCATTGCCTCACCCTGTATAATTAATGCAGAAATTACAAAAATTTTACATGGCCAATTTAAGTTTCAAACCCTTAAAAACACATTAAATAAATACCACGTTAAGGTTAATGAAGATATTACAAAATACCCCCGCCGCAGCAAACCTGCCGACTAAGCGAATTTCCATTTGTCTGAATTGATTTTCAATTAAATATATTTAAATAACACTAGGTTTAACGAGTACCTAGGTTTGCTGCTACAAGGAAACTAATAATGTGTGTTTTTTAGTAAGATATTGATAGCTTAGTATAAAATAAATAAATTTGCCAAGTTTGATCAAAATATATCCATAAACAAGCAAAGTGCAACATTTTACAATATAAGAATAACATGGGAATTTAAAATTTTAATTTTTTTTAATTTTCTCCGATACCAATAATCGAACAAAAATACTTTTATATACTAAATTATTTGTTTTTTTTTTAAGCTCTTTAAAAAGGTCTAAAGAGAAATTGGGAAATTTTGTGTTTTGAGGGTCAAAAGTGAGAAAAAACCATTTTTACCCCATAAAACCCCCCGTAAAGCTCCGTTCCCATGGTCCGATCATGCTGGTTCGCGAACTCATTCAAGTTTATCCCGCTTTAGACCTTTAAACCAAATTTCATCAAAATCGGACAAAAATTACTCAAGTTATCGCGTTCACGGACGTATATATATATATATATATATATATATCTATATAAATAAAATTACAGTTTTGTCTGTACATTGCTTAGAATCATGCAGTTTTTTTGTTATTTTTACGTTTCATAGCCTAAGAAAGTCGAAACGAGTCTTATCTCAATTTCTGTCTGTTTGTCTGTCTGTCCTTTCTGTGGTCCCATCTGTAACGCGAAAATGTCATTTTACGCGGCCTACTCCTAGAAAACTAGAGTACCGATCAAGGTTCTAATCATTTTTCTGTATTTACTGGAATGGTGAGAGTGTCTTTGGCTATAAAAACATGGCCTCGCTTCTTTTAAAACAAAATAACGAACCATCAAAAACCCAATTTTGTTCAATTTTTGTCAAATATTTTCCCAATGTTTACTATTACATTACATTTTATGAATTAACGATCAGCTGTCATTAGTTCTCACTTCTAGCTGTCACTGATATGTTTACATTAAAAGTTGTTTGCAAATACCGCAACCATTTCTGATCAAGTTTTGTTAGCACATCCAAACCAAGTGAGATTAAAAACGTTGTGCCTTACTTAACCGGTTTAATTAATCGCAAGTGCAACGATTGTTCTTGAGTTTTGATAACCAGGGAAAATACTGCGAATCAGTGTTGTATTAGTGCTGGGAAACTTACATTTTTTTAATCATCGTCACCAATAGCTTACAAAAAAGGTTTCCACTCATTGACGGCGCTTTAAGGACAGTTGTGTAAAGTGCAAAGTAAAAAATCACAACTGCAGTGATGTTGCTGCGATCTTAGAAGATCTTTCTGATTTCGCTGTGATCGTAACAGAGGTTTAACTTACAGATGTAGCTAAAAACGCTTTTCCGATATGTCACTTTGGTTTCTACTTACAGTACTTACATTTCGACAACGATATCGGTACTTTTCCTACTTAAGAAGTAAAACTACAAACGTCCAAAACCCCAGATTTGTGCGTTTTTTGTCACACTTCCTCCGAATATTTGCTAGATATATACCGATCATCGTTTAGAGATTACGTAATCTTTTAAATAAGAAATCTTTGTTTGGATAAAGGTGGTTTCTTCAAACTGTCATTAATATGTTAACATTAAAAGTTGCTTACAAATAATGATATTAATGGGAAATAACTTTGATTTTCGAAAACTAAAAAAAAACCAAAGGTGTATTAATAACTTCGGTACTGCACCACATTAAGTGACATTTTTTTTGAGCAAACCATAGTGAGTTTTTAAAGCTTTATATTGTTAACGTTACATGTTACATGTTTTGTGTCCTGTGTATTTATTTATTTGCCAACGGATTAACATCTATAATACAGTTTGATTAGAAGGACAGTTTGAATTGGTTGTAAGTACTATAGTTCTTTTCTTAAATGTAAACGTTGGTTTTTGGTACTGCTACTTTTCCTTAGAACCGGTGGTAGCATTAAGAATCATTTTTACGTACAAACACATCACTATTTACAACTATAGTTCTCGTTAGTGCTGCACCTTATTTCTTATTAAATTTAATTGATGTCTTACTGTATAATTTTTGCATTTTCTGTCTAGACTCCAAAATGTTAGTTTATGCTATAAAAATTATAAAACATTAGGGAAAGATTTTTTTTGCAAACCATCATGAATTTTTAAAGCTTGGCGTTGATAACGTATCAATGTTTTGTGGACTGTGTATTTATTTACTTATTTATATATTTGCCAACGGATTTACACACCAATTTTACAGTTTGATTAGGCCTAAAGACGATTATCATTAAACTTGATGACACTATCAAAACTTTTAAATAATTATTTTGTTTGTGATTTGCTTTGGTAAAAGCGTAGCGAATCCCCTAATTTAATTTTGTATTTGTGTGTGTATGTCTGCTGGTAACACATTAATGTCCTCATTTCTCAGTGTTTCGTGGAAAAGACAAGAGCGCCTTTGTTAATGAAAATTTCAACCCGAATAAAGTGAATTAGTGAGTCGGTGGCTCAGTCGGTAGCGTCGCGGACTTCGGGCCCAAGGCAGCGATGTCGTGGGTTTGGATCCTGGTCACTGCCACTAAAATTTATCAGTACAGTCCACCTTTGTACTGTACCACCTTGCTTTGCTGTAAACGTTCCAAGCACGGGTGGTTAGTCTATGTGGACGGGCAAATGCAAGGTAAAAAGAGGCTGCCAACCTCTTTTTTGAAAGTAAAGTAGTAAAGTAAAGTGTGCAGTTGTGAGGTTGAAGTAGTATTTTAACTACTTTTAACGAGTGTCAAAAGTAACTTTCAATTACATGCCTACCTTAGGGCTATGCCTCATAGATCTATAAAGCAATTCCTTTTATCATTAAATATAACACGATCGGGTGACATTTAATTGCGAAGCATTCGTTTTGGCTTTGAAATTGTCAGATATTGTATTTGCGAAGGTTTATATGTATTCCTATACAGTAATAGTTTTGCCAGCATATCTGGAAAAATGCACACTAAATATGCAAACCAACTCCTGTTCTGAATAAAGGTTTCAATTTACTACAAGATTCCCGTACGTAGAACGGGCAAACAGCTAGTATATATATAAATCTATATATATAAATCAATATATATATATATATATATATATATATATATATATATATATATATATACATATATAAAAATTTGAACGAATAGTGTTTTTGGCCTCTGGAGAGATCAAAATGAAAAAGTAAATCGGTCCCGGGTCTAAGCCTTACCTACGGTAATAGCTACTTCCCTATAGGGAAATTCGCTAAAATATAAATACCCCCGCCGCAGCAAACCTGGAGACTAAGCGAATTTCCATATACACAGCTGGAATTCCACTTAATTGTTCCCTTAAAATTGCCAGATTTATTTCCTATTTAAACATCATTAATATTAATGAGTACTTAGGTTTGCTGCTACAGGGAAGAAAATAGGGGGTTTTTATTGAAATATTAATAGCTCAGTATGAAGTAAATAAAATTTCAAAATTTCATTAATATATGTCCATACACAAGCAAGCTACAACACTGTACTTATTCTTCATAAGAATAACATGGTAATTATAAATTTACATTATTTTGCGATTTTTCCGTTAGGCATGCAACAATGCTTCAATATACTAAATTATTTGTTTTTTTGAGCTCTACAAAATGGTTTAGAAAAGAAATTGCAAAATTTTATGTTTTCAGGGTGAAAAATTGGAAAAACCCATTTTTACCCCATAAAACCCCCCATAAACCCCTGTTCCCATAGTCCGATCATGCTGCTTCGCGAACTCGTTCGAATAAATGTAG